GTTGTCAACGTTGTTTGCATAATCTTAGTGCACCCGTTCTCTACCATCTCGTCGTATGAATAAAACGTTATTCTATCGACAAATTGAAACTGAGTCCATTTGGAAGGGCTGTTGAAAAGTAATCCTGAGAAATATGGCTTTTTGTGAAACGTACTTTGAATTTTCCTACGTGCTGTGATGTTCGGTTACCCGGCTTCACCTTTGAAATAAGCAGAGGCATAAGATACTGGTATATTAGAACGGAATGTGAAACTAGGTAAGCCTAAGTAACCTTGGTGTTTTACTACTCACTGGATAAAAATTCAGTTTTGGCTACAGACGAATGAGTGGAGGAGAGGAGACGTGGTGCATTGTGCAAAAAGAGACGTCCTGATGCTATAGACAGAGCCAACTATTCTTTAAATCAGGCCAGATCCTGACCTAAAATATTTCCGGCTCGATCTCTATTCAGAGAGACAATAAGTGGGACTTGATCATGGGGGCGACCACTCATCAGTTGAATAAAACCAATATTCCATTTAGTGTCAGGAATCAACGAATTGTAGTGAACAAGTTGGGACTTTGGGACAGCGATCGAAATGCTAACACTGCTCGAGAATAGTGACTTATTGCATCCTAAGAGGCCTATAGGTCCAACGTCGCGTAACTGGGCTAAAACGAGCTGGTGAACATTGCGGCTATCCTCTATTAAGGGAGTGTCTCGAAACATATGATGTTAGGGAAGTGGGTTGACCTTGTTGTCGCAACTTTGTATTGTTGTTAGGGCGACTTAGTAGAACGCACCGTGTCCGAAGTCCTCTGCCAGAGTAGTTATCATAATTCCCAGCATTAGACATGGACTTGGTACATTCTAAGACGTTTCGCCGGAATTATGTTATGACTTGTGGGTTTTAGCGATGATTGTCTTGTATTCGTGACAAGTCTTCATTTACAGTTAGCCTGATTCTTTGGTGCCAAAGTGATGTGTTTCTCGCCTTTATGGATTATACTAAGGCGGCCAATGTAGGGTGGAGATAGTGGCTAAAATACACGCTATTTTTTGGCATTGAAGTATCCACAGGTTATTAAGTCTTCAGTTACTATCACCACCCAGCTAAGTACGTCTCACTTCTACACTAAATCCTTTCATTTTATATATTTCCTTTCAGTTTGAGAACACTTTCTATGACATCATTCGTCTAAGGGATAGGATCGCTTCAAGTTTCGTTCTTTAGATCATGCCCCATTTTTAGTTTGCTTGTGACGAGCTCACCAGTTATCGACTGATCCCTATTCTGTTTTAGTGACTATGATATACTTGTAAAAATATATTTATCTTGTATGAGATGTATTCACCCTATTTTGTTTAAGTTGATGAGGGATTGGTGGTTTAATTTTCCCACTAAGCTATAAGTAAAGCATTGAATTTCGCATGGAAATGCTTTTACAAAAGGTGTTCTCATCCAGGATGGACTGCAGTTTCGACTTCATCTAGGCCATATCAACACCTACAGGGTGTCGAACCATGGCATTTCAGCGTGTAATCTCAACATTAAACCACTACGTCATATTGCTATGAGTGCCCTTGGGTCACAGGGCAGATGTGAACTTTAAAGAAGGTAAGGCCTTTTCCCAGTCCTTCATCACCTTAAACGAAACAGGCTGAATACATCTCATGTAGCTGATTTACTTGTAATCTCGAAAACCTACTTATATACGAAAAATATATTTATCTTTTTATGTCGAAAATTATCGTATTTAAATACTCAAATTTTCAAGTGGTCTTTTATAGGCAACTTTACACTGGAAATACGCTTTGCCCGTACAATCTTATTTTCATGTTAATTTTATCGGGACTATCAGGGGATACTATTTTTAAAGCAACTATATACCAGTGATTGATCATTTCTCTGTGCTGAATAAAAGGAGAGACCTACTCTATTTTACTATATTATAAGTCCCCAAATTGGGTTATAATCTGGGTTTTACTTTATTTTTGGTTCCGATGATAGCGCAAGGTATGATGGATATTATAATCTACTGAGGTTGAGAACTCGCTCTCTCTTCAATTCACCATCAGCAGATTACTCTGTGTTACTCGACAAATGGCGTTGCTTCTCTTGTTGCCCGGTTAATTCATATTATTCGTCTGTCACAGGGCTTCTCTCTCAGCTTCCGTTTGAAGCAAGCTCCTGTACCATTTATGAAAGGTGCATTTTCCCACCGTCAGAATGGAGCATTTCCTAACAAAGCCTGTATTTAATCCATTTGTTTTATGTGCTGTTTTCTCATCCATAGTTCTCCTGTCATAGTTTTAACTGGCACATTCTTGTAGATTTCGTTGTATGGAATATCTATTTTCTATCTTTTTCTTCAGACCCAAAAGACTTTTAAGTGGCTTGCCTTCCTGAAACGACACTATCATTTGTACCCATATCGTTTTTCTATTTTTTATATAAATATGTGCTGGTATCCTTTCGCCGTTTCTTGTCAAGAATCATCTTCTCCCCCATGCTTGTCCGGCTTCTCTGATTTCGGTAAATCATACCTGTATAGTTCACCCATTCTACTGTGAACCTTCTATATGTTGCATCGCGATCTCATGTTTTTTGCCGCTGGACATTGTTGGTGACCTTGACTCCTTATGATAGGAGTACTTTGGTAGTATTATGACGAGATAGTTCCTCTATGACATACAAAAATTTCATCTTTTCATTGTACCGTAAAACCTACCCTTGTGGGTGGTATCGCACTAACTTTTTTGCATAATAATCTTTATAGATGCTTCACTTATTCCCGAGTACCCTAAATTCGTTTTCCTTTTATTTAATTAACTACTTATCTGACCTTGGTAGGGGCACTGTTGGCCATATTAACCTATTTGACCAGTCAAAGATTGGACACATACAGTTCACTTTAGAGGTGTAGTTCTTGAAGGCATCTAGCAGGCCTCTGAATATCGCAATTTACTCTTATTTGGAGCTCTGCGCCATCATAACCTTTGCAGGCAGGCCTTGTTTCATGGCTGCCTGGCCACACTAGGTATACCGCTGCACGATTCAATGTCAACTTCGGCCTATTGGGTGCGTGAGCCCTTCAGCTCGGCCATAGTCGACGACAGGATGCCCTCGGTCTGCCCCACCTGGACTGCCGCCGCCCTGGTTACAAATTCAGCTCATCCCTTTGCTGCTAACCCTTTGCAGTCCGCCTACCTCTCCGGCGGCCTGTTCTACCGCGAGGCCCCTGATCACTTCGCTAGTTGTGAATTGTGCCCATCTGCTGCTCGACTGTCTCGACGTGCAGGCACACTTCCCGGCCGTCTGCCTGGCCACAAGCCGGCTTCTCTTCGCAGCCTTTCCCTAATGCTGCCTTTAGATTCGCCCCCTTCGTCTCCCCGGTCGACCGGACTCACCTATCAACTCAACCAGAGCCGACGAAAGTTGAATAGGGCTAGTCAGAAGTCACTTTCCCTCACCCGTTCTCTGCACCCGGTTGCCTGGCGGCCTGGCGGAAGGGCCACTCTCCCCGTCGGTCTTCGTTATCGATCACCAGTCACCCTGGCAATGCTGACTAGGGAATTAGTCGGCGGTGGCTTTCACCCGGACGCCTCGAAGGTGAAAACTCTCCTCAGGCCCTATCAAAAGCAAGTGGAGCCCTCAGTTGGGTCTCAGATACGGACCGCGGCCTAACTCCAAACCATTTTTAGTTTTCATTTAAGTAGATGGTGACCAGCATGCATACGCTATATGGCAATGCCAGCTTACATGAGCTCTCCTTGGAAGTCTTTGCCCACACTGTTCATCTACACCACTTCCACGCGGTAACGGGTCATTTTGGCACTTTTAGGCGTCACTTATCATCATTTAAAGTTGGATTCTGTCTGTCTGTGTGTGTCTCTCTCTCCCTCACTCACTATCAATTTCCCTCATTTTTGGGCTTTAGAAACAACTTTTTGACTTTACTGATTCTGAGCGCTTTTATTTTTGGAGAGACATACTCTTACAATGCTGTTACATCTAAAGTCTGTTTTTTTTACTTTTATATATTATTATAGAATCAAAGATCCCGTCTTCCTTAAAGGTGAGTGTTCAAGCCATTCTCACTTAACCACAAATTCTATTATACTATTATTTTAGATTCACCTTTCCTTTGGTCGATTATCACTAGAGGCATTCTCTTAACATTTTTCCATATGAATGCATATTCATCCACCCATATTCCTATAACTACATACATACATACATACATACATACATACATACATACATACATACATA